CAACTACTTTTATTATTCCACAATACATTTAATCTTGCATAATGATCATGAAATAAATTTACTAACATGCCTATATTGATTATCATATTATAAATGACTTAAATACGTTCTTACACATAAAATATCTAAGAGATATTGTCGATTTAAAGAAAAATATGTGCTACTTACCTAGCAACATTATTGAAATGATAATATATGCTACCTAAACTATGATATTTAATGCTATCTATTATTTGTTCTAGTTATTAATATCACATTGCCTATATCTGAGAAAATTTCTTAGAAGGGTAATTATCCGATAAATTTTATAGGGGTAATTCTGTCCACGACTACCCTTTAATATCACATTTCCATAACAATGATGTCCTGAATAAATGCAAACTTCGAGCTTGCGTTTCTCTCTCTCAAGATTGCAGAATTGAAAATCTTCTTCGAAGAATTATAAAATCTTTCGAGCAAAGAGGATTTGGAGAGGTGTCTTTTCAAGGATGATAGTGATCGATGTTGTGTGGCAGAAAAAAGGATGGGAGAGTTTGAAAAGAGCCTTTTCAGATGACAGTAATGGTTGCGTGATCACATTTGGCAACATTTGAGGAATGATTCAATTCACATATCTTACTTATTAACTGTAAGCTTCAATGATTTACCTTATCAATTGAAGCTACGCTTTCTTTATCTTGGGATCTTCCCGGAAGATTATGAATTCTTTATAGAGAAAACAGTCCGATTACTGGTGGCTGAAGGTTTTATTGGAGAGGATGATGATGATCGAGTAATGGAAGAAGTGGCTAAAAATAACTTGGATGAGTTGATCAATAGAAGCTTGATTCAAATAGAAAACATGCGTCGAGGGAGAGTTGAAACATGTCGAATCCATTATCTTTCGCGGGATCGTGCTATTCAAAAAGCAAAAGAGTTAAATTTCATTCATATTTATGAACTTCTTCTCAAGCGAAATCATCGTCTTCTTGCCGACTTGTTTTTTATTCTGGAACAAGTTTCTGGTTCAAATTTGTAGTTGTCTCACGTTCCCTCTTGTTATTCGATCAAGATTAGGGCTCGTTCAACAAAATATCAACAGCTATTTGCACAAGGGCTCAGGTTGCTCAGATTCTTCATGTCGAGAATCATGGAGGATCAATTGATTCAAGTAGCTTACCCGAAGAGAAAGGGCAGTTGGTCCACTTAAAGTATTTGACGATAAGAATTACAGACATCAGAAATCTTCAACCATCCACTGTCAACTTACGAAGACTTCAAACTCTGGACTTGTACTCTTACAATTGCACCCTCAAGCTGCCAATTGGAATTGGAAAATTGTAAGAGTTGAGACATTTGATCACAACTTTTGAAGGGCCTCTGCCAATAGACAATTTGAAAAACCTTCGGACTCTAAAGTTCGTAAGCAATAAAGTTCACCATCCTGAAAAGCTGGTTAATCTTCGAGAGCTACACATTCATCATTTTGACATAGAAGAACAAGAAGCATTTACATTCCACTCTATTGTGAAGCTGAAAAACAATAGAATTTTATTAGTTGAATTGTCTGGTGTCCATTCTTTCACTTCACTGCAACCACTTTCTCACTATCCACGGCTCCAGGATTTGACATTAGATAGGAAGATAGAGGAACTGCCTACAGACATGCACGCAACCTTGCTGGTTTTTTGGGTTTCCAGGATGACCCGATGCCTAAGTTACCGAACCTGTTAAAGTCTTGAATTGTTGTTTCATTCTTACCACGGAAAGAAAATGATATGCAGGGAATAGGGTTTTCGTCAGCTTGAAAGTTTAGAAATTATTGAACTACTGTATGAAATGGAGGAATTGATAGTAGATGAGGGAGGTATGCCAATGCTTAGGAGTCTGGAGATCAAACCAAAGAACTTCAAGCTGAGAATTCCAAAAAGATTGAGGTCAATCCCTGTGCCAACTAGGAGATATTTGACTCGATGTTACACTCGTTTCTGATTTAATATTTAAAAGGGCAATACTAAATGAATCTCACAAACCCAAGTCCCAACGTGACAATTGATAACTGGTTTTTGATGAATTTTTCTTTTGTTGAGTTTATCTTAAACTAATTATCAGTTGTCACGTTAAGTTTGTGAAAAAAAATTTGTAAGATTCTTTTGTCAACCTATTTTTTTTTTTGTATTTAAAATGGAAGATGTCGCATTATTCAGTTTGCAAATTTTATACATAATAATAAAATAAGATTTTGTATGTATAGTATGAGATAAGTACCAAGTATACATTTCCAGAGATAAAGTTCGAAGATCTTATTCACTCTCGTACAGTTATATCTGTGGATTTTGTAAATTTGTTACGTGATGATTTTATTAAAAAAACCGGAACTGTAGCATTTATTTTACTCGAGTGAGTGGGATCTCTAACAATGACATGATTACAATTATTGAGATCTTCAAAGATGATTGGGAACTTTTAACGAAAATTTTGTGGAAATACGCATTGTTTTAAAACCGGACCGGAGGGCAAACCGCTTTGATGGTCGGGTCACGTTCAACCAGTTCAACCGGTTAGACCGCTGATTGAACCGGTAACATCATCACACATCATGATGACGTCAACACATTTAAAAAAAAAAAAACAAATTTGTTTTTTAGATTTCTATTTTTCAATAAGACAATAACAACTTAATTACTGTCGAACATGATTCAAAGTTCAAATTCAACAACAATCCTAACATAATTTAAGTATTTAACAACAATTCAAAGTCCAAATCCGAACATGATGTTGTATTTACATATCAAATGACAAAATACATAATAATTAATAACAAAACATTTGATGCAAGTGCTTTTTCTTTGATCCGTCTCTATGTTGATTGAGCTTCACACACTAGCATCAAAATTCATCACCATCATCATCATCATAACCATCACCACCATCTACGCAAATTTCAGTAAAAAATAGAAATCATAAGTTAAAACTTGTAATTTAATTTAAATAGATACTGAGTTACTTAAATAATTGAAACCAACCTTCTGAACTATCGGTTGAATCATAAAAAGAAGAGTGATCAGCAACTCCAGTAGAAATAGATCCTTCTCCATATAACATTTTGGCCTAAAATTATCTCAAGCTTCATGGTGAAAGTTTGGTTCATCTTGGGCTTGTTTAAAGGTTCCAGAGTTGAAACTATACAAGATTATACCCAATTCATATTTTTATATAAATCTCTCCTCTGGCCCATTCATTTCCTATATTCATTCCCTTATATCTTTGGGAAGCAATGGAGTGATCAATTAATTGTTCACGCAAATTTCTGACTACCAGTTTTCTCTTCAAGTGCTTACATGAAGAAGGGTCTTTTGAGTGACAGTGAAGAAACTCAATGCACTTAACAATTAGGATAGAAATCTAAATGTATGCTTTTAAGATATTTGTTTATCAAAACGACAACTATGTGGTTTGTGAACAAAAGAGAGAGTAATACAAAAACCATAGAAAAGTTGAGAAAAGTACAAAACAGAGGGTTTTACGTACTTCAATTGTATTCTCAAAATCTGCCAATGACTTTTTTGAACCATAGAAAAGTTGAAGTGCTTGAAAAACTTAACTTAGTGTTAAAACTTGAGTCTAAACTAATTAACGCATAAATCAATCCAACACAAACAAGATTCAAAGAAATCAAACACCAAAAATTACACACTCAATCTGTCGAATCAGAGCAATGCTTTAACCCAAGCCTAATCACTCAATAACTCTCTATAACCTGCAAGAAATCAGAGATCTATCCTAGCCTCAAGAAGGAAACGCAACCCTCTCACAAATCTGCCTAGATTACAACGAGAAAGACCCTAGCAAAAAGCCCCAAATCAATTGCTCATTCAACACACAAGAACCCTAACAATTTCAGACTAAAAAACCCGATAGCTGTACACCTTCTAGCTATGGTTTGCATTTAGGTTACGTTTGGGGCCAACCCAATACACAATGACCCTACTTCCTTTCATCAACAACCAAAAAAGCACTTTGAAATGACAACTGACTTTCACAAATTGAACCCAGCATTACAATACGAGTTGTGAACCTGGTGAGACTCAATTGAACTCATTTTTAACTTCCATGACTCAACAAATTTGGATAGTGCAACAGATTGAAAAATGTAAAGGGTGTTAACTTAAATGTAAAGGGAGCGAGGAATGGCATTACCTGGTTCGAGGAATGGAGCTATCGTTAACGAATGAAGCTGTCACCGTCGATTTCCAGCGAAGAACGGAGCTGTCATCGTCGATTTCAAAGAGTTCAAATGCGATTTGGGTGGGATTTCAGAGAGAACAGAAGACAGAGCCGAAACCGTGACACTTTTCGCAGAGAACAGAGTGTTTGCTTAAAAATTTTCGTGAGAAAAACGGAAAAAGATTGAAAGAGAAGAACTGAAGATTGAAGAAGACGAGAAAGGGGCATGACTGCATCGCTTTTAGGATTTACGGGTTGTTAATGTGGACCGGTTTTTCTCGGACCGACGGTTTACTGATATCATCCGGTTTTTAACCGGTTTAAAACGACTCAATGCATAGTAATGGGTTTGAGAGTGACCCGAACCGAACACGTGACCGGTTCACGATCCAACCAGTTGGACCGACCGATCCGATCTGATTTTTAAAACAATAGAAATACGCCAAACACCATAGCTGATCGAGTAATACTTGATTGAAACTTGAAACATCTATATAAGGTTAAGTTCATAAGATGCATTTTTTATAATTTTTAAGCCGGTAAATTAATGCGTTAAAATGGTTAAAATTGCATCTAAATTGTTTCATTTCTCAGATAAATTAAATGTAAAAGTTACCTCAAATCTAAACCATTGAGTTGATCTAAAAAGCTAAAAATTATATCCTAATTTATGTAAAAATGCGGTACCCTCAAACCTTCACCATACATGCACACATTGCTCCATAATTTTTCTTATGGCTTCAGTTTGATTGCACGAACCAGAAAAAATTTATGCTTTCAGTTCGATTACTAAATGGACAGAAATAAATCAACTAATTATGATTTGATTATATTCCACCATGTTTTCTCCAAATGTTTCTTAATGAAACACCTTAGGAGCTAGCTAACAGGGCTTGCCGAGTCAATTTAATTACCAAAAATGCTGCCCCTGGTTCATCCTACAAATACATATATAAACAATATTTCTACAAAGTTGTTTCCGGCAAGGTGACCAACAGATTAATGTAAATACTGCACTTACAATCATGGGTCCTTGTTTCGAAGGCGATCTTTCCGTTGGCCTCCGAGAATACGAGTATCTGCAGACCTCTGCTGAACGCTTGGTTAAAGAGCATACGAGTCTGGATTCTGAGACAAAGGAACCACGCCAAGAATGCAACTGGAGTGAAGAGAAGTAAACCCATAACGATTTCATAGCCACGAGCAAGTGTCCGAACTGATCCCCAGAACCCAGCTCGCTGAACTAGAGGCTTCAATGCTTGTGCAATCTGGAAAAACAAGGGTTTAAAAATGAAGGCAAAATTGAGAATCGGCATCATGAATCCGAGTCTTGGTCATACAAGAAAATATCAAGGGATGGCTTCGATTATAAAATATATTAATACAAGTAAATGAGTATGACAACGAATCCTTACCAACAACATTCCCCAACCAGTGGGCATGAAAGCAAGAATACACACAATGATGTCTTGCACGGTCATATGGGAATGCGATCAAAATGACCAGAATGGAGATGAAGTTAAAAATATCAATCCCTTGATAAGTCGAAACACAAGTTGGAAATTTGCACTGAATCTTCGCCTTCCAACGGACACAGTCTACGGAAAGAAAAAGAAAATTTAATGAGACTACAAAAATCAAAACATGCAATATATTAAGGCAATGCATATACAAAAAAAATAATAAAAAGTTATTGCACTATAAGTTGCATGATGTTGGCGATCTATAACAAATAATTTGTTCAAACAAATAAGCTGGATCACAATAAATCATTAACAACGCAGCGTCTTTTTCCCTAAATGGTTTGCACCTTCCTTGTCCCTTTTCATTAACCTTTTTTTTTTTTTTTTTTTTTCAGAAATGGTAAGCTTAGATAAAAATTTTGAATACAACTACAAAATGCATACAACTATATGAAGAATCTAGGTACTCACCTTCATCACAAACAATATGAGAAAGATCACCAGCCATGATACACCATAGACCTACGGTCAAGTGAAAAAAAGGTGTAATGTCAATGACGGTATTTATATTAGTAAGACAAGAAGTAACTGAAAGCAGAAATAAATTAAACAATTTGGAGCTGAGAATATACCAGGAAACTTTTGGTGTGCTTTGTAATTTTCAGATGATATACAAGCCCATACTGATAGATAAAAAATCTTAAAGCTAACAATATCTCAGCAATGATCCCACGCAACCCAGAATGACGAAGATGCTCTTGTTCTTCCTCCCACCATGATTCCCAACTCTTTTCTGGAGGTACACCAATACCTCCTCGGTTACTTATCCACTTATTCCAATCAGTCCAATCATCAACAATCTTTTGCCACTCGAAACCAGAAGGATTGAATAGGAACGGAGCGAAAAGCCAGGTGCCCACCATAAACCACATAGAAATTGTGATCAAGATGTAAGCAACTGCACCTCTATAAGATTGACCAAATATTTGGTACACAATAAGCAAGATCATCATCTCAATACCCTTGACAAAGTGACTACGTGAATAAAGCCTGTAGTTGTCCGCAAATTTGGCATGGAAGACCACAAACCCACGACCCGTAGGCCTATATTTTGCACCTCCATGAAGTAATGTCCTTCCGTAATAGTGAGTCTTCGTTCCAAGAGAGAAAGTGAAAAAGACTGGTGCCAATTGCAATTGCATCAGAATAAATTCACTTAGTGCAGTCCGGAAACCCCTCTCCAAGCCAATTTCCATCAACATAGGCAAGGCCATCAAAAATCCAATTTGAACAATAGATTGAGAAGCAAGAGCTACTTGAAGAGGCTTATTGTCTCGAATTGCAGGCTGAGTACTCAACCCTTCTTCAAGACCACTAAGTACAAGATAGAGACGGCCATACAGGAACACATACACAGTAAGCACAGTTATCTGTCAAAAAAAGAAAAAAAGACGTTAGTCTGGACCTTTGGAAAGCTACAAACACAAACAAGCCTGAAAAAAGTTAAAAAAAATAAATGTGCAATATACCAAAGTACTAAAGTAGAATCCAATGGTAGTGAAATAGCATGACAACATTCGGAAAAAATCAAACCGGTGTCCAAGCCGGTATATATCTCGACTCAGTGTCTGCTCCCCATTGCCATTAGCAATCTTAGCTTCAAACATAGAAATCTGATTCAAGCCGACATCCCTTCCCTTCCCAACTTGAATGTATTCATGATGGGTAACATTGCCTTCTCGAAGGGTAGAGTTGAAGCCTGCAGACACAACCAAATCACACATGTTACCGTTAAGATCCAACTATCCAAGATCGTCAACACAAACAAGCAAAGAAAGAAAAGTTCCAGAGACCAACATACCAGCAAATATGTCTTCACTCAAATTGATAACCTTGGATGCTTTACTGACACCTCCTCTAGTAAGGTGAAAGAGCCTATCAAACACATCTGGATGACCATAATGGAATCGAACCCTGCATAACCAGAAACAAGGACATAGCCAATCAGCCCAGACAAGCATAGGGAAAGAAAACGAAAGAAATAAATATTTATTAAGAAAGTGATGACCACAAATATGCCCAGAATCATTTGTTTGCGATATTATTAAATGTTTCAGCCATCAAAGATTGATCATAACATCAGTGACCCATTCAATTCATTCAAAATATCGAAGACTCGATGCTGAAGTAAAAACTTCCATTTGCTAATCTTTTTCCTCTTCAACACTGAAAATGAAATTTACTTTAACGATACCCATTCTGAAAATTTTCAGTTTTTAAACACATTGTTTTATACTAGGGTTTGTGGTAATCACTTCCAAGCATTCAGCTATATTAAGTTTTACCCAATTGTGCTATAAACATACTTGGTAAAACGTTTGAGCTGCACCAAGACGGTAAGACCATGTTTGTTTGTTGATGTTTCGATATCCTGATATGTATATGAATATATATAAATATCGTACTTACATAATGGGTGCGTTTAGTTTATTATTTTGGATAGAATTTTGTGGATAGTATTGAATAATTGAATATAGGAGTATTACGAGGTAAAATTTAAAAATTTATGAAAAAATCTCTTAAGTTTGCTAATTTAATAAATACCCCAACATATAAAATAACAAAAATACCCCCACCACCTGCAGTGCCAAATTCCGGCCACCACCGCCGGAATCTGGCCGGAAAATCGCGTTACAACACAGACCGGTCGGATCTATGTCGTAACGCGTCGTTATGGCCTTTTCCGGCCAGATCCACCACGGATCTGACTAGAAAAGGCCAGATCCACGACCTAGCCAGATCCACTGTAGATCTGACTGGAAAAGGCCAGATCGGTGAATTACCGTCCAACTCCAGTCAGTAATTCACCGTTGTGGCAAATTCCGACTACCACCGACGGTGGTTGCCGGAATCTGACAAGTATGGGTCACAGGGGTGTTTTTGTTAATTTTTAAACTTTTTTCAAAGGGTATTTAATGAAATTAATAACCTTTTGGGGTCTAAAAGTAATTAAAAAAATAGGGTAATATTTCTGAAACATGGCACATTATTTGGAGAATAGGATTGGGAATATGGATAATAATAATAATAAGCCAAACATGCCCAATATTTTCAATTGTTATATGTTAGGATCCCACAATGAAAAGGAAAATGGTGGACATGTGGGTTATAAAGGCTTGGGCACTCTCCCTTGGCAAGCCAATTTTCCAAGAAGAGTTATACCCAAGCCCATGAAAGACCCATGGCTCAGCCCAAATTGTTGAGTTATTGGAGTGGGTTCCTTTCAATTGGCATCAGAGCATGATCCTGTGGACGCGTGGCAGGCTGACCTTGGGCCCGGACTGTTACCCCAAGGAAAGGGGATCCGCGTAGTCACCCAAGGGATAAAGAGGCCGACAAGGGTAAAGAGGCCAACTTGGACGTTAGTTGCGGAAGCGTGGTGGAATGTTAAGATCCCAAATTGAAAGGGAAAAGAATAGGCATGTGGGTTATAAAGGCTTATTATAAAGGCTTAGTCACCCTCCCTTGACAAGCCGGTTTTCCAAGAAGAGTTCTACCCAAACCCATGAAAGACCCATGGCCCAGCTCAAATTGTTGAGTTATTCGAGTGAGTTTCTATCAATTGGTATCAAAGCATGATCTTGTGGACGCGTGGCAGGCTGACCTTGGGTCCGAGCTATTACCCCAAGGAAAGGGGATCCGCGAAGTCACCCAAGGAGTAAAGAGGCCAACGTGGAGCCCACGCAGCAGGGCCTAGTGGGCCCCCCAAGGGGTCAAGAAGGAGAGTTGCTGACAGACTTCTAGGCGAAGTAAGACCCAAAGAGAGGGCAGTAAAGGCCGATGAGGGAGGGGTAGCCGAAGAGGGCGGGCACTCTCTAGAAAGAAGACCAAAGAGGACGTTGGGTCTCAAAGCATGGGAGAATGTTAGGATCCTACATTGAAAAGGAAAAGGGTGGGCATGTGGGTTATAAAGGCTTGAGCACCCTCCCTTAGCAAGCCGGTTTTCCAAGGAGAGTTCTATCCAAGCCCATGAAAGACCCATGGCCCGGCCCAAATTGTTGAGTTATTAGAGTGGGTTCCTATCATTATAACAGTTCAACATTGATTTTTATTCAACCTGGTGCAGAGCAGGGACACAAATTCTAATTAACTAACACATAGGGTGCGTTTGGTTTATTATTTTGGATAGGATTTTGGGAATAATATTGGGCAGTTGAGTAGGAGAGTATTACGAGGTAAAATTTAAAAATTTATAAAAAAACCCCTAAGTTTGCTAATTTAATTAAGCACCCCAACATATAAAATAACAAAAATACCACCACCACCCACAGTGCCATATTCTAGCCAACATCGCCGAAATCTGGTCGAAAAATTGCTTTACAACACAGATTGATCGGATCTGTGTCGTAACGCCTCGCTATGGCCTTTTCCGGCCGACGGCCAAAAAAGGCCAAAGAAATGGCCATCGTTTTCGATCAACGATGGCCAAGATTTGGCCGTCACTGACAGCCAAATCAGTGAACTACCGGCCATTTCTGGTCTCCTGATTTTAGAAGCAAAAAAGATGGTTTTCCCCGCAAACTTTTCATATAAATAAGTTCTCCCAATTTTTATTTTCACATATATACGTATATATATTTTGCAAAAACATGCAAATAACATAAAAGAAGAGAAGATTTGAAGAAAGGGATTCGAAACATGGTAACTTACTTCAGAGGGTTGGCTAACAGTCTTTGACCAATTGTCACAAAACTGGTCTCCTGATTTGACATGAACCAAGCAAGTGAAGAAACACTGCATCAAATAATAAAAAGAATTATTAAATAATTTATATAAGACTGCAAATTAAAATCCAGGGTCATTAAAGTGCTTTTTACCTTCCAGTAAATATATGCTCTCTAAGTCCAAGAATAGTCGGATACCTCACACCATCATGCTTTTTGAGGAATTCTTGCAGCAAATTCCTCATTTTTAAGGCTTCTTCCATGTA